GAAGACTTGACCTAACCAGGCTTGATCTAACTTAACCTACCTAACCTAACTTAACCTAATCTAATCTAACCCAACCAGTATACTAGTAGTTACACGAAGATACTGCACAGTGGCTTAATTTATTATATGTTGGCTTTTTTCAACTACGGTAAATATCATAGGGTGGTTTTATACAGCTCGTGGCTTTATATACCTGATATTATAAGTTACAACCGTTACATGATATCACGTGTTACATGATATCACGTGTTACCCGATATCACGAGTTCCCTGATATCACGTGTTACCCGATATCACGAGTTTCCTGATATCACGTGTTACCCGATATCACGAGTTTCCTGATATCACGTGTTACCCGATATCACGAGTTCCCTGATATTATAAGTTACCTGATATCACGTGTTATTGCAAGTTACGTTATACTCTTGTTGCCATACCCAAGTTAAGTATTTTCGTGTTTTAAAAAGATTTCATGTCCTGAAATATTAGTTGGTTGTACTTCACATACTGGCCACCAGATATTGCCAACACGGTTTTATGCCGGGGCGCTCCTGCTTAACACAATTGCTCAAGGTATTGGATATTTGGACCCATATTCTGGAACGGGGTGGTAATATCGACAATATTTACCTAGATTTTGCCAAGGCTTTCGACAGTGTACCCCACGAAAGGCTGAAAATCAAACTGGAAGGGTACGGAATTCGGGGAAATGTCCTAGCGTGGATAGAAGACTTTCTACATGACCGCAAGCAGTGTGTGGTGATTAATGGCACGAAATCGTCATCTGTACCTGTCACAAGTGGGGTACCACAGGGCAGTGTATTGGGCCCGCTGTTGTTTGTTTGTTTCATAAATGACATGCCTGACGTTGTACACTCCTCCATACAAATGTTTGTCGATGACGCCAAGTTATTTCGGGAAATTAAGAACCAAGCGGACTGTGAAGAGCTGCAGAAGGACCTCTGTGGGCTCCATGAATGGTTGAAGAAATGGCTGCTGAGATTTAATGTCACGAAGTGTAAGAGGATGCACCTGGGGCGTACCAACGGTAAGGAGGCGTATGATATGTCCCAACGGGATGAAGAAACTGCACTAGTTGAGACTGTATGTGAGAAGGACCTAGGTATGTATGTTGAAAATGAGCTGAAGTTCTCGGGCCATTGCAAGAAGAAGGTAAATCAGGCAAATAAATTATTGGGTCTTATAAGAAGGTCGTTCAGATATCTAGACGGTCCGTCCCTCGTAACGATCTTCAGGAGTGAAGTGCTTTCCAATCTGGAGTACTGTCACCCCATCTGGTCCCCGAGATAAGCTAGGGACTGTCAGTTGGTTGAAAATGTTCAAAGGAGGGCCACCAGACTGGTGCCTGCACTTCGACACCTCAGCTACCCTGAGAGATTGGAGCGCCTGAACTTGCCTAGCTTATACTACAGACGGGCAAGGGGGGACTTAGTTGAGGTGTATAAGCATCTCAGGGGGCACTACTCAGTTGAGTGTCCTTACTTGGAGCTGGCTGACGCTCGCCCCACAAGCTGGTCACAGCTCAAGAATGAAGAAGCTGCAAGTCCAGGAAACTGTGAGGGCAAACTTTTTCGGAGTGAGGGTTGTAAACTCTTGGAACAATCTACCAGTGTGTGTTGTGACGGCACCGAGTGTGAGCTCTTTCAAGAGAAGACTTGACCAACACTGGAGCGGGTTCAGGTACACTCAGGAGCCGGTGCATGCCCAGTATTTGCCAACAGTGCGTGACAGAGACGTGACCGATCGCCCGGGCGGCTAGCGAGCCGATCAGTGGCGAGGAGGATAAAAGTAAAAAGTAGATTCCGTATCACTATCGAGTTTTGTGAACTGAAAAACTATTAAGTGTGTCCTGTATGTTATTTTCTTTATGATGGATCCAAAGAAAACTGGCTCCAAAGGGACTTATTTTTGGAATAACTTTACTACTAGATTAAATGTCGTCTGGGAGTTATTTCGGCATTATGGACCTGTTATTGAATAACACTACACATTCCTAATACCTTCTCGTTATATTTACTTACACTCGTCTTTGCAACATCACCTTATACACGTGTGTTCGTATGTTTGTGACTGTGAAGAGGCAGCCATATATTAGTTAAAAAAAAAATCCGTCACAAGTTCACCGGGGGGGGTAACAGCATATTTTAATACAAAATTAAGCCAGTCGGTAGAAAGTGTGGTGAGATTTCATCCCCAAAATCTTTTACCTTATGTAACTTCGCCTTAGGTAACCCGCCATTTCTTGTATTCTCGTGTTAACGGAGAAGCACAGCCTTAATGATCTTGATAATGGTGTCTGCTTCCCGTGCAGGTGATCGTGAATTATATCTAGCCATGATGTGGGGTTGGTCTTAATTATCCAGCTACAGTTAGTCCTTCAAGTCGTTAAAGTAAACATGACCACAACAAATGTTTCGCTTGAGGAGTCGACTCAATGTAAAACAATATCAAACTTTACCTTCATAAAAATTATTGTTCAATTTACGAAGAATTTTTAATATACTTTCCCTGAAGGCGGTTGTTGTATACTATGTTTATATCTGATACAGTGTGGTGTACTAACTGACCAAACTACTGTAATACGTCAACTGACCGCCAACAGTCAGTGGTACTCTAAAACATTTTACAACTGACCAAAGGTTCTCACGCCCGTATTATTAAACAACATCTTCCCTTGAAGAGGGTCGTCGTGTTTCAACCCGAGTTTCAAACTAAATGAGTCCTGAGGGACACCACAATACAGTAGTTAACGGGGTGGTGTGGCGGTAAAATTAACTAATTCCACCACACACCACTACCACACACCACCACCCGATTACCAGGAACACTATACACCGCCCCTTGTCTCCCTTATTGCTCCTTTAGAGACTGGCATTCCCGTAAAAAGGTATCTGTATTCATCATTCCTGCCCACCTGTCATGTATTCCTGCCCACCTGTCATGTATTCCTGCCCACCTGTCATGTATTCTCTAAGCAATAATTATACACTTTGAATTATAGGTTAAGGAATGTACATAAAATAATCTGAATTTATACGTTCATGAACGTAATCTGGTAAAGCTATATTGGCTAGCACGTTCTGCGTCAACCCCAGAGATGTTCAATTTAAACGCGTGACATACTTTTTTAAATGTAAGTAGTCGTACCAGTTTTAAGGACGTTCATTTTCAACACCGGGCGTTCAATTTTAACCCTCATTACGTTCTACTGTATTATAGACCATGACGATCAATTTTGACATCTTTACGTTCTTGTTTTAATCAAATGAGTTTTTGTTTCAACCCTTAGACGTTCTGTTTCAACCCTAAGACGTTCTATTCCAAGCCAAACATTCCATTTCAACCCCAAATAAAACGGTGAATTTCTGTGCTCATTTTTGTTTTATATTTGTCTTGAAGATCCACCCCAAGTCAAACATCCTCCCACACAGTTCTCAGGAAATCAATTTCATTTACGTCTTGTAAACAGGCCGAGGCGGTATTGAGTTACACAGAGAATATCTCGCGGGGAGCCCAAAACACAGTCAATAAGCCTTATTTCACCTTATTTTGACGGGGAATATTAATCATTACAGCTGCTGCGGGAGTAGTGTGTCGACTCTTAAGTGGTATTGTGATCCCTCTATAGATGCAGTTTTAGGGTGGCATCGAATTCTCTGGGTTTGTCACTTTTTCTTTTCTTTTTCTCGTAACTGAGCTTTTGGTAATGTGTGTATTTGTGAGTCAAAACTATAATTCACACGGGTGGGGAGAGGGAGAGGGTGGGTTAAATAGTCTCTCATCAGGGCCTCATCTCCCGCGCGAAAACAAAAGAATGTCGGGAATCGGAAGAGGATCCAGTTTGGTGATGGGTTCATGAAGGCTATTGGTTTACTCATGACTCTTTCCTTATGAGAGGACTTTTGAAGAGAAGAGGAGAAACAAAGGAATGGGAAATATTAGATAGGAAAACGCGAGACGAATGTGAAAGGTGAGAAGAAGTAGACAGAAAGGAACGATAGATAAGGGAGAAAGTAAACATGACACAAGGAACAACGAAAAGAGAACTACATAGATAAATGAGGAGAAACAAATAAAAAGAAAGAAAATATGTATTGTGGAAGGAGAGTAGAAGCAAAGGAGGAAGGGGGGAGGAAGAAGTCGGAAGAGAAGAAAAAGAATAGGATTGAAGAAGAAAACCGCAACGTCATGGCGTGTGCACTTCCCTATCACACTCCTCCCCTCCCTCCCTCTCCCTCCCTACCCCTCCCTCCCTCTCCCCCTCCCTCGGTATGTCAACAGAAGAGGCCTTTGAGCACCTCCAGTGGCCGAGATGCTCCAAACACCTCACCACCAACCCTGCTATGACAACAGGAATAACACCCCGCTGACAACAGGGAGGCCACACCCATGACAGCAGATAACACCCATGACAACAGGAGATAACATCCATGACAACAGGAGATAACACCCATGACAACAGGAATAACACCCCCACATGACAACAGGAGATAACACCCCATGACAACAGGAGATAACACCCGACAGCAGGAGATAACACCCACGCTGACAGCAGGAGATAACACCCATGACAGCAGGAATAGCACCCATGACAACAGGGAGATACACTCGTAGGTACACTGGTTATATTAGTATCCTAACGCATCTACACACACACACACACACATACACACACATACACACACACACATACACACACACACACACACATACATACACACACACACACACACACACACACACACACACACGAAAAAGAAAAGGGGCAGGCTTGGGGGGCAAGACATAGGCAGGGGCATGAGACGGGGCACGGGGCGGGGGCATGAGACGGGACACGGGGCGGTGTATGAGAGAAAGAGGCACGGGGCGGGGCAAGGGGAGGGGTATGAGACGGGGCACAGGGCGGAGCGGGGGGCGGGGCATGAGATGGGGCACGGGGCGGGGCACGTAAAGGGGCACTGGCACACCGCTGTCAAACGTAGTGGGGGAGAGAGCCAGTGCCCCTCAGTTAGTCCTAGTGGGTGCCAGTAAGTGCCTTATAGTCGAGCAGCATCGGGAGAGTATACACTTGGAGCGTCTTACAATGCTGTCCACTGATTTACGTCAAAACCATGTGGGCGTCGGCACCAGGATAGTAGGTGGGTGGTGTGCGTAGGTGGGTGATGTACGTGGGCATAGGTGGGTGATGCATAGGTGGGTGATGTACGTGGGTGTAGTGGGTGATGCATGTGGGTGTAGGTGGGTGATGTACGTGGGCATAGGTGGGTGATGTACGTGGGTGTAGGTGGGTGAAGTATATACGTGGTTGTGGGTGTTAAGGGTTGTAGTGGAAATAATTGTAGTGGGTATAATGGTGGCTGTAGTGATTGTGGAGGTGGTAGTGGTGTTGGCAGGGGAGGGAAGCACGAGAGCGTATGGTGTTGGAGTAGTGCCAACCTCCACCCAAGGGCCAGTGCCTCACCTCCTACCGCTACTGGTGTAAGGGTGCCACACACACACACACACACACACACACACACAAATAATACCACCACCATCACCACATCATTACTTAACCACCACTACACTACCACCCCTACCACAAGTATCACCATTCACCACTCCACCATCACAACTCACCATCACACTACCACTAATCACCACCACCACCACCATAAACCACCATCACCACTACCACCTTTAACCACGCTACCACCAACCATTAACACTACTACCTTTAACCTCCACTGACCACAACCACCTTTAACCACTACCACAACTAACCACAACCACTCCCCACAACCACTCACCACTCCCCACCACCACTAACCCCTCCACACCACCACTAACCCCTCCCCGACACCACTCACTACCACTAACCACCACCACCACACTACGCTACAGCCAGGTAGGGAGACAGTCATTGCTTATATTTTCACTAAAGGTACGACCACGGGAGAGGGGAGAAGAGTGTAGTGTGAGAAGGGGAGGTAAGGAGGGAGGGAGGGGAGAGGAACAAGAGGGGAGAGGGGACGAGAGAAATGGGGAGAAGAGAAAGGAATTGAGGGAATGGGAGGAGGGAAGTGGACAAGTGGAATGGGAAGAGAAGAGGAGGAGGAGGGAACGAGGAAAATAAAAAGGAGAGGATAACGGGAAAAGGAGGAAGAGGAAATGAGGTGAGGGAGGAAGAGAGCGGATGAGAGAAGAAAAGATTGGGAGGGGGAAGAGGGGGAGAGGAGAGGAGGCGGTGGTGAGTAAGATAGGAAGGAGGTAGGTGAGGCGGAGAAGAAGAAGAGGGGGTGGCAAGAGGAAAGGATGAGGGGGGAGAGAAGGAGAAGGGAAGACGAGAAGAAAAAATAGATAAGGAGGATGGTAAAAGGGAGAGAGAGAGAGAGAGAGAGAGAGAGAGAGAGAGAGAGAGAGAGAGAGAGAGAGAGAGAGAGAGAGAGAGAGAGAGAGAGAGAGAGAGAGAGAGAGAGAGAGAGTCAAGAATAGTATATAAAAGAATGGAAAGGGGGACAGGCAATACAGGATAAAGGAAAGTGGGGAGAGAGAGACAAAGGAAAGGGAGGGAGGGGGGGGGGAGGGAGGAGAGAAGGGGGAGGGGAGAGAAAAATAAAACGGCGAAATAGGTAACGAGAGGAAAGAGGCTTAGGTGAAAAGAGGAGGAGGGGGGGTGGAGGAGGAGAGAAGGAGATGAAGAGATAGATGAGGGAGAGAAGTTAAAGGTTAATCTAAGTTTCACATCGTCTAAAAATTAAATATGTTGTTGATTGTATACCCCTCTCTCTCTGTCTGCCACTCCTTCGTCCTTCCCCGTGTCGTAGCGTGCCTGTGGTGGTGGTGGGGAGTTCGTGCCTGTGGTGGTGGTGGTGGCGTCGTGCCTGTGGTGGTGGTGGTGGAGGAGTGGACAAGCTCATTACCATATCGACAGGTGTCCCTTGATATTTCCATCATTAATATATTTCATAGTTAACTGTGTGGAGGGCGGGGGGGGGGGGGTCGTTGCCTGCACCAACACCCCCCAGGCTACCCCACTGCTGAGTTAGGTCGTCAGCTCTGTCCTCCACCGCCTGTATAAAACTTTTCAGAGTTTTTTTACACCTCAAAAACTACTGGTTTAATTTGGTTGAAAGTTTGTAGGAAAGTTCCTTGAGTGGTTCCTCTTCTGTGTTGTGTCTGACGTCATTATCGTTTGCCCTCTTAAGTGGACGTACAGTCTCTTGGCCCTGTAACATTCGTGTGTGACGTAACGCCTAACCCCGACACTTGAGTCCCTATTTCAAGCTCACTGTATAAAAATCAGGTGTCAAGCTAATAATATACAATGAAAAAGTGCTTTAAGTGTTTATCAGTTTCATATTGTGTCTTCAGCAACACTGATAATTAAAGAATCAGGAATTAGGCTTTAATATCGTGAAGTAATTTTCAGTGTGCGGGCGATTGGGTTGATGACAGTAGTGGTTCTCTCCCATGATGACTATGGTGACCACTTCCCGAGAGGATCTGGCCCTACTGTTCTCATCATCTCCTGCAGGTCATACATCGTCGTGAGTGTTGTGGAGTAAACAATGCTCTAAGATGACCCCTGGAGTAGGAAGGCTAATGGAGTAAGACTGAACACTGACCCTCGCTCTCCTATCCATCTTCCTCTCAGACGTTGCTTCTTCATCTTGCTCACAAAGACTCGTGTTGTGGGAGTACCTGACGAAATTCTCAACCTGCTCCTGCTGTGACCAATAGCGTCGAAATTGTCCTGAGACTAGCATGATGGGTCCTCGTATCCCCAGTGAAGAGGAGAAATTTAAGTGAGGTAACGGTGTCTCCTTACACTGGCCTTGTGGAGGTCAGATAAGATTTGTTATTGATGGATTTTATATTAATGGTGAGGGAGGGAAGGAGGAAGGGGGGGGGGAAATGAAGTGGAGAGAGGAAACTGGAGGAGAGAAAGGAGAAAGGAGGATGGAAAGGGATGGGAAAAAGGAAGGTTAAGGGAGAGAAACGTTGGTTAGTGAGAGGATGGGGGTGAAGGAGGGTGTAAGTAAGGGGGAGGCGAAAGCAGGAAATTAGAAGGAGATGATAAAGATGTGAAAGGAAAGAAAACGAAAGAAAAGATTTGAGAGACGGGAAAAGAAGAAAAATAACTTCCGGTTTGTCCAAAGATTCTCTCTCTCTCTCTCTCTCTTTCTCGCCAGGGAAAATTATTTTTTGGTGTGTCGCAAGCTCAAACCACAGTAAGAGAGAAAGGAGATTTGTTGTGTCGTAAGGTCACACAGCATGGCAAGAATAGGGTCAGTCAGTGAGCCACAAGCTGATTGGTGGCGTGAATCATGACGTCAATGGCGAGTGTTGCCAGATGGGGAGCATCAAAATAGAGGCACCTCGGGAGTAACTGTGTGTGTGTTTACCAACTCAGGTCCTGACAGACTCTGGCCTTTCAAAGGTTCTTACATTGGTGTTTCATTCGAATTATAATAAGAGAATAGGGAATATGAGAAATTTAATCAGGGTATAAGATGCAATTAGACTCTTAAGCCGAAGCTGTTTTGTTTTCTCATCGCCAACTAAGAGGAAGAATTCCCCGTACAAGTATCCCAAGCTCCAGGTCATGACTGGTAGCGTCTCTGTTTACTTAACCCACTACTTCCTTTTCACTCGGCTGAACTCTCTCCCACCAGAGAAATTTTCTTGCACTCTTATGCAAACTCTCATCTGAGTTCACGATGTGTTGCAAACTCCTTCTGGCTCTCATTCTTCTTTTTCAGGTAATAAAACTTTACTGTAAAATTTCAGCTTCAGCTTCAGCTTCCTCCGGTAAATGACTAGATGTATCCCGCTCTCTTACACGCACGTAAATAATGTATCACAAAACTAATACCATTTCTGTTCGTCGCAAAAGTTAGAATACAATTTAAAGTTCTAGGTTTCCCTTAACAATTTTCATACTTTTTTTGTGAGTGAAACTAAACAGCTTATAAGTACAACAGGTGTGAATATTTTTGTGCAGGTTGTAGTGCAGAGGTACTGACTTACAGGTGTGCCGCCCAACAGGTGTGGTTCAGGGGTACCGGCCGCAGGTGGACTGGGGCGGGGACTCGGGGTCGGCGACCATCGTAGTGGGTGGCCACAATGTACGGGTGGCTACGTCTGGGTGGCGGCGACGGTGCCTCTACCTCCTGCTGGTGGCACTGTTGGCACTCTCTATCATCAACCTCTCTCTCACACTCTGGATACTCAAGACGGTCAACTTCAATTTGGTGAGTGGTGGGGAGGGTGAGTGGTGGGGAGGGGGTGGTGTGGGGAGGGGGCTGGTGGGGAGTGAGGGAGGGCTGGTGGGGAGTTAGCATACAGTCTAGTGAGTGGTAAGGCTCCACGTGTCCCTGACTAATATACACAGGTACACTAATCCCATCAACAACACACATCACTTAATTAAATACTTAGAAAAAATTAAGATTCTTCATATAAAAAAATAATACATACAGAGGCTAACACACACACACACACACACACACACACACACACACACATACACATACATAAATTTATACACCTGTAAGTGTAATTTACATATATGATCCCTGTATGTAAGAAAAATAACCTGTTTACATTCTGATGGTCATTGTCCCTAGAGCACAAGACGTCACCATTTTTATATCAGAGAGACTTGTCACCAGGATGTCCTCTCACCACATTCATCTTCCACCTGTGTGTTCTCAGCTTCCTGGAAATAAAATATTGACCTTTGCTATCTTGGTGACCAGGCAGGGGCGCTATTGGTGGGAGTTTGGCGGTACTCTGTTTTATGTTAGTTTTATTTACAGTATCATAACATAGTGGACTAAGTACCTGGTTATTCATAGTTATTCATTAAGGCGCATTATTCAATATTAGAAAGGTGGTAAGAAGGTCTGCTGATTTGCGTAAGTTTAATACGTTTTCAAGGCTTTAGTCAGTGGTCACCAATTCCTTGCTTCTTGTTCGTTCACACTGAGTATAGTAAACAATACGCCCATGGTAGTTACTGTATACCTCACACAGTCACGTGATTGGTGGATGAGTTATACGCAACGTAGGATTTTGAAGAGCTGAGTTTTGATTGGTTATTCGCTACCACAATATAAAAACGTAAAGAAAATTAGACAAATAAATAACACACAAATAACAGAGCAAAAGAAGTGTTATTGACATTTATTGAATATATATATTAGCCTCTATTAAATATATAAGACCAAACTTAGTATTTTTTACAATAAACATGAAGATAATTATACTCTTCAGCATTATTGTCAGATATAAACAGCAAGGTAATCAATTTATACCATTTTTATAACAAGACTTAATATAACCCACATTAAAGTAATTATCAAGTTGTATTGAGTAATTGATTTGATAAGGTTTGATTTTGAAGGTGAATTTATTTTTTTGATCTAACGAGAGAATTAAATCTAAGGAAAATAACAGCATTTTGAGTTTTGTGATCAATTGATGATTTATTTTGATCAATCTGTCTATTTTTATGTCTATTTTCCTGCCTTCAGTAGTACCACAGTCTTCATCCTCCTCCTCCTCCTCCGTCAGTAGCATCACAGTCTCCCTTCGTCGGTAGTAACTCCAGGTCTCTCCACAGGACGGGATGGGGCATCTGAACGTGGTCATCGGCGGAGTGAAGATGCAGGGAATAAGCCGAATGCTGGGAAAGGTGAGTCGTACTGCAGGTCAAGGTCGTACAACAGGCAGAGGTCGTTATTGTTCAGGACAAGGTCGTATTTTACTCTGGATGATAAGTTAATTAAGTTCGCCATTTACTTGAGATGATGAACTGTGTGTATTAATGAGAGCGGACCTGTAAGCTAACTGTGACCTACCTGTGACCTGCCCGTGACCTGTGACCTACCTGTGACCTACCTGTGATGAGGCATGATTGATGTGTTAAAACTCTTGTTTCTCTCTTCTATAATTCCTCTTTTATTAACACCTCTGGCTTCTCTTCCCTTTCCTATTTACATATCTTGAACCATAATGTTATCCTTCTCATTTCCTCTTCCTTCCTTCCTTCCTTTATTCCTTCAGTTCCACTACTACCACCTCCCTCTCTTCCTGCCTTCTCATCCATCCCTACCTCCCTCTCATTCTTCCTACTACTTCCCCCTCTCTTCTCATCCCTCCTCCTCTCTTCCCTTTTCCTTTTGAATTATCATCCCCCCCTTTAACCCCTTCTCTTCCTCCCTTCTGTCCCCTTTCCTCTCTTCCTTGTTTCTTTTCTCTTATTTATTCATCCAATTTTATTTAGCAGACCTTCTCCTTTTCTTACCTAACTATCTGTCTCTTTGTCTCTCTCGCTGTTTCTCTCTATTTCTGTCTCTCTATGTGTATATATATATCTCTCTAACTGTGTCCCTCTATTTCTGTATGTGTCTCTATTTCGTAATGTGTCTCTCTCTCTCTCTCTCTCTCTTCCTGTGTGTGTGTATTTCTGTGTCTGTGTATCTGTCTGTGTGTGTCTCTCTCGACTGACACACTCCCTCTCCCCAGGTCTCTATCAACAGGATCATGAGCAGGAAGGATCAAGACCTAAACATCAACTGTTACCACAACTTCACCATCCTCACCGCTCCCACCCGCGATGACCACCCCGAACCCTATGTCAGCGACCCCTCCTACCTGCACATCAGTGAGTAGAGAGAGAGAGAGAGAGAGAGAGAGAGAGAGAGAGAGACTGTAGTTGTAAAGTTCTACGTCTAACACAGTTTGGTCACTTAACAAACTTTTTGAGAACTTAATAACATCAGTCACTTACTTACTCCTTTACTTACATATTTACTTCCTTAATTACTTATATTTATTTACTTAATTACTTACTTACAGACCCCGATGATGTAGAGGCTGGTGCACAGAAGTTCTTGGTACATGGAATCCAAGGGGGAGTCTTGTTCGAGTCCTCACCCAACCGCACCATTGTCGGCGCCAAGAAATTCACGGTCACAGGTAAGGTCAGGAGGTCACAGGTACACATTGTTCAGGAGGTAGGTTATCCTTCCCCTGCCTGTCCCCTTACTTCTACCACCCACGCCTCTTCCTCCTCCTCCTCCCCCCCCTCTCCTTTTGTTGTTGTCTGTGGTAAGTAAGACACCAAAATATGTATTAATAACATGTATACAAATACTGATAAAAAAAAACCCTACCAATCATCAATTATTGACACTAATTACCACACACACTAAATTATTTATATTAATCCCCAAAGATCTTAAGTTAAATTACACTAAGTTTATTCAAATTAATTCTCATATGTAATATTTATCACACTGTCCATAGCTGTGGGGTAGGATATTCTTTTCAGCCCTGTCTGTCTGTCAGTCTGTCTGTCTGTTTCCAAAATAACTCGAGTACGGCTTCGTAACTGTACCAAAGTCATCGAATTTTTTCAATATGTGACAAGGTCCAATTTTGGGGTAAATTTATAAAGTGTTACCATGTTTAGCTTGTGCTGTTTTCTCCTACATTTAGCTTGTCTATGCTGTTGCTTACGTATTCTAAGTTTGTTTATACCAGCAGGTGAAGTTTGTTTGCAATAATCCTCACGTATTCCAAGTTTGTTTACAATAATCCTCACGAATTCCAAGTTTGTTTATATAAATCCTTACAGTAATCCTCATATACCAGGTTTGTTTACAGTAATCCTCATATACCAGGTTTGTTTACAGTAATCCTCATATACCAGGTTTGTTTATAATAATCCTCATATATTTCAGGTTCAGAAGGCGCCTCATTCCAAGGTTCAATTCAAACCCCTCACGTCTACTCCCGGGGTGTCCACAGGTTCAGGTAAGCCACAGGTTAATTAATACCGTAGCTTCTAGGTTCAGCTTTCAGTGTTTCTGTTTATTCTTTGAAGTGTTTAATCTTTCTTCCAATTTCTATTTTCTCTTTTGTTTTATTACTGCCTTTTACCTCATTTTTATCTCCTTGTCTTCTTCCTCCTCCTCCTCTCCTGCCCCCTCTCTCTTTAATTGACTTTTATCTCTGTTTTTCTTTTGTTTTCCTTTTCTCCCCTCTTACTCTCTCTCTTCTTATATGTTTTTGTTTATTTTCTGTCTCTCTCTCTCTCTCTCTCTCTCTCTCTCTCTCTCTCTCTCTCTCTCTCTCTCTCTCTCTCCCACACAAAGTTCGGACGATAAAATTTTCCTCCTTCCCTTAAACCCGAGATTATCGTATTGTAACTCTCTCCCATATAAAGTAAAACCATTGGAAGACATGAAGAATGGCGGCCAAGTTACACTGAGACTCGACCATATCTTAATATTTACAGTAAAACCTCTATTTAAAGAACTATATGGAGAAGAAAGGTCATTATATCGAGGTTATGTTAGATGTGAAACCTCCAACTAATAAACTATATAAAGATGATAGTCCATTATATCTAAGTGTTTGTTATATGGAGAGAGAGAAATCCGTTATAGGGAGGCTATATTGTACGTTCTCCTGTCCATTTTTAGGAGAAACTTAACGTAAAATGTTTGGTGAATTTAAGACTCCAGTTTCTTCTTCTCCTCCTCCGCTAAGTCGACCAAATACACCAACACCAAAGTGAACCTTCAACTTGCTGAGCTTAATCTGGGGCTCACAAGATACGTCGTTGAGCGCCCTGAGCTATGAGAGATGATGGTGTGTATCTCTTTCTGACTAAACTTGTAGATTTCTTTCCCTTTCCATCTCTGTATATGGGAAGGGGTGAGGGGCTTAGTGTGGTGAGGTACAGTAGTGTGATGATGAGGAGGTACTGTGGTGAGGTAGTGTGGTGAAGAAATGTGCTGTAACAGTGTGGTAGAGACAAACGCTAACAAAACTTAAAAAAAAAAAAAAATCAAGGCTTGTGCTCTCGTGCGGGACATAAAAGATTGTAATTGAAATAAGGATTGTAGTCTCCTTAGAGTTATTTTCACCCTGACCCCGGTTAGAGTATGAGATTGTTGCGTTAGATTGATTATTTTAACCAATATAATAATAGAGAGAGAGACTTGTTTATTTTCTTAACTTTTTCACATTCTATTTTTTTTACGAGTCAATACATCACTCTAATCCCCCATTCAAGTGATGACCCCGACTAACACAGGTACAGAGAGCGTCACCACTCACACAGGTGTTCCAACAGGTATAAACCATCAACAAAAGCTTCACCTGGGATTTAAGTATCGTCAGAATCCAGCAACAACATCGTCGTCACTGGTCATTAGTTCATTTCAGTACCTGTCAGAATGGTTTATCAGTCTAACCACCTGTTTACCATAGACAACTCGACCAGAATCAACCACACAGCTTCGGTGGTTTAGTGACATGACGCAGATCAGGTTAATCAGAGATACAGTATATTATTATTATCCAAGATCTTTGTTGTTGAAATGTTGTAATACAGAACATCAACAGATCAAGAAATACACAAAGGGATCACATGAAGATTAGCTCCCCAGCTTATTTCCCCTGATGGTTAAACAGCCTAATGCTAACTTAACCTAACCTAACCCAACGCATCGCAATATAACCTAACCTAACGCTAACTTCTAACCTAACCTAACCATACCATCAGGTGAAAATGAATAAATGGATAAGCTTTTGGTAGTGTTACTCTTCATGTGATGTAAATAAAGTCCTCTATCCTCCTCTTCCTCTTTCATACATCGTAACTATTTGGGGGACAGAGACTCTATATTGACAGACAGGTGCAAATAATTGTCTCCTGGATACAAAGTGAGAAAAAAATTATTAATATGTCTCCTGTATTTTTTAATGTTCTTGATTTATTGTAGTTATTTTTATTATTATTGTTGTTGTATTACAGTTTTGTATAAATTTTACTGGTGTATATAGTTGCCTTAAGTATTTTATGTAGCTGGTGTGAGTAAATAAACATATTGTGTGCTGATTATTAATGGTGAATGGTTTATAAAATCCATAAAAAAAATTCAAATACCTACAGAGTGAATGACGGCACACGGGCGGATGATAAACTGATGCACTATATGTAACATTCACATTTTTTGGGGGGAGGAATTGCAGTGAATTTGCACATTTTACATACGAGAGCTGAATATACAATTGTCTCCTCTATGTTGGTGAATACTGAATGTTTCCCTGTGACGTCACGTTTGAATTGTAAACAAAGTGCGCATGCAACTCGGGCAGCGGAGAGCCGGGGGAAACCTATACAGCACAGTTTAACTAGATTAGTGTTATTGTTTTTTAGGGAAGTTTAGAATCGTGACAAAATACGGACTTATGTGGGAAAAATGCTTACTTCATGTTTTATTTGATCCGTTGAGTTAATATCAACACAATTGTGGCTTTAAAGAACACACACAAAGGCTCCCCTAACAGATCTTTAGTCTAGGTAGGTGCACTTTCAATCCCAGCCACTAGATGCACCTGCTAGTACTGAAAGGTTATCTTGCTGTAAGATTCCCAGTTGAAGCTGTCAATTACGACTAACGAGCCAATATTGTCCATTACAGCTGACAGCTTGGCTTCAACTTAGGCATGAGGTAATATTTCCTAGGTGCAAATTGCCATCCTCCGTCTCTCCAACCCTCCATCATCCTTTCTGTAATCTGTCAGTGTTTAATTTTTAAGTTGGCTCTAATTACAAAAACATTGAAAATTACTGTGAAAATTGATAGTTAATCTTGTGATGGCATGTTTTGATACGCCAGGACTCTATTCACAAACATCAGCGTGCGCACCTCCCCTGATGCAGCCACACCAATGTAATAATAACCATATTTTAGTTTTCCAGCCAAAGCTTCACAACAACTGGGTTGATATATAATTAATTGCACATATCCTTTGGGGCCAGGTTACATTATCTTAATAGTGAACTGTGAAGGAAGAGTAATTTCCTTAATAAATCTTATGTTAATTAATTTTCCTTCTCTTTTTCTTGGTTCCTGCTGACAATTTCTTACTCGTCCTTCGTCTCCGGTAGCCTGGAGAGCGTGACCAGGAGGCTGGAGGCCACAGCCGCCCAGGAGATCCGTGTAGAGGCTCGTGACGGAGACATCTCTGTCACCTCACTGAAGCAGGCGTCGCTGGTGGCCGAGAAGGGTGCCATCAGGTTCGACAACCCTAAAATCTTCATGCCTAAGCTGCCTATCCACGGTAACCTGTCGATGGTTAACACGACGAGGGAGGAGGTCATGGCAGCCCCCACAGTCACTCCCCCAGGTGGGTCCTCCGTGTGTCCATGCATACTTGCTATATATTTAAATTTTCTACATTGATTTTTATTATTGATGTACATACTGTATACACCTGTACACCCACAGACCACAGTGCCCCACCAGGTAGACTCCTGTACTGCCTCACCACAACTTCATTTATAAGCCAATTACAATTTAAGGAGAGATGCAGATTGTCTGTGTCTCAGTGTAGCGTAAAACTGGTCCTTTCATGGGAGCGTTTACCAGCGACTGTCTGCCTTTCTATCTTACCACCTGATTGCTAGCCATGGCTTGCCTTCTCTCTCATTCTCTCTGTTTTCATCTTCTTGTCTTTCTGTTTCTCCCTTAAATTCTCTCGCTCTCTTTCCCTTATCAGATTTTATCTCTGTCCGTGTATGTCTGTGTCTCTCTTTCTTTCTCTCACTTACTCACTCTTTCTTTTTTCTCTCTCACAGTTTGTTTGTTCATAGAGTAATGGACTTTTCTGCTCTAGCCCACCTCTCTTTATATTCCCAGCCATCTCTGGTACCTGAGAACACCCACCAGACACCCACCCACCACCACTGACCCACCAGAAACCCACCCCATCACTGACCCACCAGAAACACCCACCCACCACCACTGAAACACCACCACCACCACTGACCCCACACCCACCCACCATCACTGACCCACCAGAAACACCCACCCACCACCACTGACCACAGAAACACCCACCCACCACCACTCGCCCTTACCAGCAACCCTGTAAGCTTAGGGCAGTGAAGGGACGTACGTACGCATGTGTGTGTGTGTGTGTGTGTGTGTGTGTGTGTGTGTGTGTGTGTGTGTGTGTGGCGCCTAATCAAGTGATATGAAAATTAGAAAAAATCGATAAACAAATAAAACCTTCCATTATAAATAATTACTCCATGAACAGATATTATTATGGTGTTAGATAAAGTCGCTTATATTATCATTATTTTTCAGAAACTCAAATCCCGCCACCTGAGCCACCCAGGACCCCTACCACCCCTATGCCACCCATCCCCCAGCAGCCACCCACTGCCACACCTGTACAAGTCTACCAGGTGAGTGTGTGAGGCAACTTAAGCCTTTGTGTTACCTGTGTATATGACTCAAATTAATTAGTTTTATTTGATACATTTTCTTTTTCCTCTAAAGGTAAGATTCAATAAGGGAATTACCGTGGTATTTTAATAAGTCTACTTTTACTGTATTTCTAAGTATACTGTCAGGTTATGGCACTGATTTTAGTATTAGTGTGTGTGTGTCATGGCTGCTGTATTGTTGTCCTGGGTGTAGTGTATCTGTGTCCTGGGTGTAGTGTATCTGTGTCCTGGGTGTAGTGTATCTGTGTCCTGGGTGTAGTGTATCTGTGTCCTGGGTGTAGTGTATCTGTGTCCTGGGTGTAGTGTATCTGTGTCCTGGGTGTAGTGTATCTGTGTCCTGGGTGTAGTGTATCTGTGTCCTGGGTGTAGTGTATCTGTGTCCTGGGTGTAGTGTATCTGTGTCCTGGGTGTAGTGTATCTGTGTCCTGGGTGTAGTGTATCTGTGTCCTGGGTGTAGTGTATCTGTGTCCTGGGTGTATCTGTGTCCTGGTGTATCTGTGTCCCTGTGTAGTGTCTGTGTCCTGGGTGTAGTGTATCTGTGTCCTGGGTGTAGTGTATCTGTGTCCTGGGTGTAGTGTATCTGTGTCCTGGGTGTCCTGTGTCATCTGTGTAGTCTGTGTCCTGGGTGTGTATCTGTGTCTGGGTGTGTGTATCTGTGTCCTGGGTGTAGTGTATCTGTGTCCTGGGTGTAGTGTATCTGTGTCCTGGGTGTAATGTAACTGTGTCCTGGGTGTAGTGTATCTGTGTCCTGGGTGTAGTGTATCTGTGTCCTGGGTGTAGTGTATCTGTGTCCTGGGTGTAGTGTATCTGTGTCCTGGGTGTAGTGTATCTGTGTCCTGGGTGTAGTGTATCTGTGTCCTGGGTGTAGTGTATCTGTGTCCTGGGTGCACTTATTTGCTCTGTGCGAAATGAGTTTTGTAAATGTGGGTGAGTGGAAGACGTTTCAGGCCATGGAAGGAGTTAGAGAGGGAGGGAGGGAGGGAGGGAGGGATGTAAAGGGATATAGAGGGAGGTAACGAGGAAAGGAGGGAGACAGAGACTAAGGAGAGGTAGGTAGAGAGACAGGAGGGGGTAGGGAAGGAGTGACTTATACATGCTGATATATACTGTATCACCTCTCATACTTGATCATTATACAGGTGAATAAGTTTCCGTCACAGGAAATAAACAATACTGAAATAACAATATACCTGTAACTTCCTGGTCCTCCTGCTCAGGTGTGTGTGTGTCCCAGCGGGAGACTCTTCGTGGTGACGGCCGCCTCCGCCTGTGTGCCTGACGACGAGGTGTGTCGCTAGCTACTGCAGGTGTTGAACTCGTCGTCTTCCCGGTGTGTCGCTCTATGTGAACCCCTGATGTTTGTTTCCTTCTGACGCAACAAGAACCTTATGCAGCATACTTCTACCTTTGACACTTTAACGTTTTGGGCCTAAGAACCAAGTTACTTTCGTCTGTATGTCTGATATTGAGGTGCGTCACTTAACCACTGCCGTCAAAGGTGTTCTCCCATATCTGATGACGTGCGTCTCTAGATACTGTCATCGAAAATGTCCTTCTGAGTAATTAATTACGATGTTGCTTCTCACCTGTGACTGACGACAACTTGGAGCCACCGGGTACTGTCCTCTGAATCTCGACCCATGTTACTCCTCCTCACCTTACATCTGGGACCCCTTTTATGTGACTGTCGATAGCCTGTGTGTCCGTGACTGATATAGGAGAGTCTCGTTCACCGTCACCCAAGACACTATCTCTCCACCTCCTGTTCCTCTATCGGTGTTCCTGACGACGATGATCTGCCATGACCACAGGTACTCGTCTTCAGTCTCAACACCCTCCATGTCTTCTTGCACCCTCAGTAGTTATTTATGGGATTAGTAAACATAAGAACTGTCTGACTCTTCACTACCTTTTATCTCCTTTTTCTTCACGTTTCCTCTTGCTTGTCTCCTCACCTCACCGGTTTCAAGGAGGACTGTCAGAAGTACACTTTTCCTTCATGGTAAAGTCAGGTAAAGGTGTTTCTATATCATCTATTATATCCCCAGTCAAGATGTGGCAGTGTTACAGTATTAGAGATGAGTCGGGATTGAACTAATGTCTGATGGATTGCGTTTCGAGTCATCCCTTGCACTCGTATACAGATAATGGATTCACGTATGATTAGTATCCTGACTGGGAGTATCACAGGCGGTATAGCAACACTTTTCCCTGACTACTTAAGGCAGCACTGGACAAGATGATCACCTGTAGATACCACCAGTTCAGGGGTAGTGTGTTGTACTGTACCACTTAGAAAATAGTCGATTAACTGGGCAAATTTTTTGGTGAATGTAATAAAAGTTGATAGATTTTTAGGTTGAGTTTAGGGGAAGAATGTAATTTGTTTTTAATCATGAACTATGTGGAAAATTATGAAGACTAATTATAAAGTTTGGTATTTTATCATGAAAGTTTGATATTTGGGAGGAAAATTTTTGTACTATAAAATCATAAATAACTTAAAATTAAATTCATTGTAATAGATGACTGAGGTGTAATTATTTCTGGTTTAGGATCTTCTATAACACACCTTTACCACTCAGATAATGTTGACTTATATGTGTGTTAAGATCATGACCCTTAACGTTTAGTGCTGATGATATTGACCATTAACCAGGTTAGTTTAAGGGTTAGGTTAGGTTAATGATATGGTTAGTTTAGGCTAATGGTATGGTTAGGTGATTACTGAGATTATGTGAAATCCCAGGTTACTTAATACTGTACAATTATATATACAGTACACCAATCGTGTATGGCGTCCCTCAAGGTTCCAGTCTCGGCCCTGTACTGTTTTTGTTGTACATAAACGACATAGTCCACGCCAGCACACTAAAAAAATACAACTTATTTGCAGACGATAGTAACCTCTATGCCAGCAACTCAGACCTCCATTCCTTGATGAGAACTATGAACACTGAATTGACTAAACTCAGGACCTGGGTAACAAGTAATAAACTGACCTTAAACCTCGAAAGAACCCACTACACAATCTTTCACGGAAGGAAAAACCCACCCCCAAATTTGGACCCCCTGTACCTTGGTAATACAGTCTTCAAACGCGATCAAAATACAAAATTTCTTGGGATTATTGTTGATGGAAAACTTAGCTGGAGAAACCACATAAAATCCATTCACATGTACTATTCCAGATGATACTAAATGTTACATAATATCTCCTTGAGAAAAATGTACTGTATAAATCGGGTGCCTTCAAGAGACCTCAGGCTCTCAACTGGCTCAGCCATGTTAATATTGTTATTATTATCATCCACTCTGTATCTGTATTTTTCTGGCTTAATAAACTCTTTCAATATCAATATGGAAGACTTCGGAAACGTGTAGCCTGTAGGGCCGAGAACACGTGGGTAGTGGATGAGTGGGTAGGCTCAGTCATGTGAGGACTTCAGTTCGAACCCTCACAGGTGTATTGGGCTAACAGTCACTCTTCTCCTCTTAGTGTAGAGATACGTTACCTGGGTTATGGTGTTATATAGTAATTAGTCAACTCTTGTATTTATTGTATAAAGCTATTTTGTAGTTCTTGTACCCTGGTTTGTAAATTAGCAGATACTGTAGTGTACTGTTATCTTGTAGAAGTTTGTTGTATAAGTTTGTAACGCTGTATTATGAGATTCTAAGATGCTGTGTGTGTGTGTGTGTGTGTGTGTGTGTGTGTGTGTGAGCTAATATATACACTATTATATGTAGCCTGTGTATAAGATTATGTCACTATTATTCACAAAGCTAAAGTGTTTTTTGACGAATAAAGACTTTTAATTGATTGATTTATTCTCTTAAAATTCACTTCCTTGTTTGTGTTGTAGTGTTAGTGGCCACGTCTTTGGAGAGGAAATTGGTGTCTCACTGTGTGTATGTACTGTATGTTGCTTGTTACACTTGACACACATACAAATACACACATACACATATATATACACACACACATACACACACACACACATACACATATACACACACACACATACACATATACACACACGTACAAAAACGCACAAAAAATATTGATGCTGAGAGCGGGGATCATAACATAACCAAGACAACACAAGTCATATCCTACGGTCCTACCTCAGACATCCTTTAGTCATGAAGGACTCCTCCTCCTCCTCCTCCTCCTCCTGATTGACCAATACTTGTTCCATACGATAGATTTTGTCACTGCTACCGTGATATTTTCAACTCGTGTGTTTAAGTGCAATAATATGACAAGTTATGCATATTATACATGTATGTATATGTATATTTCCTACATATCATCAGGCACACATGGATAAATACATAAATATTCATACATACACATACAGTATATCTTTTTCGTGAAGATAATTAAGACCACACATACATATTACACTAACGTTGACCGAAGGAGGACATTTGGGCAACACAATTTCCACACCTGTCGCCTGATTCATCTCAGGTAAGGGGACAACAGGTTCAAGATTCAAGATATTTTACAGAATAAATAATAGAAGTACTTTCACACCACTTATGAGCTGTCTTCACCACCTCCGTTTTCTTTCACACCAATATTATACACGTTTTCTCTTCTCTCGATTGCGTCTCCCAGGTAGATTCTTTCACCTTGTTTACTCTACCCAGGTGATGGCCTGGGTGTGAGGAATAGCTATCGAGGTGTCAAGAGATGGACGACTCAGTTTAGTTCACTTGTATTAATTCTGTTTAGTTTTGTAAGCGACCAGATTTATTATTCCTTTGTTTACATCATGGCGACGATTACAGCACTTATTAACATATATTAAGTGCAGGTTAGACTTGCATTTGAGAATTATTAAGCTATGGGTAATGTACTATGGTATTTGAGGGTGTTAACGACTGTGTAGGTAATTTGATGGTTCGTGACGTCTTTGCCATAACGAGCCACAACACTTGGGAGGAGGAGGGGGGGTGCTCAGTTTCGTGTATTTTTCGACACGACAGTAAAGGGTTGGGGCCGTTGAGCGTGTGTGTTCGTGTGTGGTCGTTATGCTCCGTAGCTGTATGTCTTGTAGTGACCAAACTAACCCATACTGTGAGTGGTTGTGTTGTTGTGATGACTTTTACGCATTTATGATGGGTGTCAGACGTTCCCGGTGGTGTTGCAGTTATAGGTGACCAGCTGAGGAACACGGCAGCTGGTGGTGTTGAAGGTACTAGTGACCAGCTGAGGAACACGAAGATGGTTTAGTCACCAGGGAAGACGATTCATCCCATGACATCAATTACTGAGGTAAGCGACTTGTACATATGTGTGACTTGACCGCGGCGGGCCCTTAGTACTAACTTTCTCCATTTAAGATAAAAGATTTATTACCTCGAGAAAATGACAAAAAGTATAAGAGGAATACGATTTGCATATGATCACTTTTCCGATTTTTCTGTCTTGGGTCCGTTCGTGAGATGTGTTGTAACGTAACATTACTGTATATGCTACTTCCGTGATGTTTTCGATGTAACACAAACGTAACATTTTTTTTACGAAGGTTTATCTTGTATTTTTAATCTTCTAAACGATTTTATTTTATTTTTATGAAAAGTATTTGACCAGAAATAAACTTTTTGCGGGCATGGGGAAGGAACTTAGTCAGCTTCGCCTATCAGACGTAAATAATCGTAAAAGTTATACCACGTAAACCGTATTCTCAGATCACCTTTTCTCATTTTCTCGAGGTATGAAAACTTTTATTTATTTTGGACAATTTTCCTCAGTTTGGTGGTAAAGACGCGCCACAGTTGTCAAGTATTATCTTTTGTTCTTTTATTCTTATCTTTTAGTTTTAATTGTCTTTTGTTTATGACGTAGACTTACCCCGCACTTCTAGTTCAAGTCACCAGAGCTACAGGTCAGGGTCAGGGTTAAAGGTCAGGGCTACAGGTTAGGGTTAAGGCTACAGGTCAGGGATACCGGCCAGGGTCAAGGTTACAGGCCAAGGTTACGGTTACAGGTCAGGGTCAAGGTTACAGGCCAGGGTCAAGGTTACAGGCCAGGGTCAAGGTTACTGACCTGGGTTAAGGCTACAGGTCAGGGTCAGGGATACCGGCCAGGGTCAAGGTTACAGGCCAAGGTCACGGTTACAGGTCAGGGTCATGGTTACAGGCCAGGGTCAAGGTTACAGGCCAGGGTCAAGGTTACTGACCTGGGTTAAGGCTACAGGTCAGGGATACAGGCCAGGGTCAGGTCGCAGGTTGCTATGTAGGGTCTAACTAAGGCGTGAGATACGTGTGTGGTAGGGAGTAACTTATGTCTCGTCTTCAGTACTGTCAGGAATTACTATAGGTTTGGTTAGGTTAGGTTTAGTTAGATTAGGTTAGGTTTGGTTAGGTTAGGTTAGGTAGTTTTGCGGAAGGGGAAAGGCCAAAGGGTGAGGTAGAACATTATTTTACATGTTTTCTGATTTATTTGTTTATTTACCGGTCTTTTGGTCTTTTGTTGAGTTATCGACCCGGTCTTTTGTTGAGTGACCAATGTTGTTTATTTACCCGGTCTTTTGTTGAGTGACCAATGTTGTTTATTTACCCGGTCTTTTGTTGAGTTACCGATGTTGTTTATTTACCCGGTCTTCTATTTTAACTCGGGCTAGTTATTTAACCTTCCCGGGTTCAGTAAACATGTCTCGGGTACCCACCATTAGGGGTTCGAATCCTCAAGCTAATGTTTCGAATGATTCATTTCGGTCTAGGTTATTCGAACTATTTTGAGTCAGTGTGTTTTTTTTTAAGGTTTATTAAGAGTTTTAAATAACGAATCAGTGAGTCTTAACCAACGAAGCAATGAAACAGTTCGAAGTAAAATGTTCCTAGTGATCAATGACGTCACCAGTTATGGCCCGAATGACGTCACCAAAAACACGACCCCCGAATGACGTCACTAAAGATAAAACCCGAATGACGTCACCAAAAATACGACTCTAGCGTCTTATTGGCCAACTACTCTACACATGGTTGATATTACGGAGAGAAAAACTACAATACAATTTTTTTCTCGTACTGTACATGTTGTAGGAACCATAGGGAGAGAAACTGTAGTAAGTAGTAGACGGGAGGAACATGTATGTATGTATGTATGTATGTATGTATGTATGTATGTATGTATGTATGTATGTATGTATGTATGTATGTATGTATGTATGTATGTATGTATGTATGTATGTATGTATGTATGTATGTATGTATGTATGTATGTATGTATGTATGTATGTATGTATGTATGTATGTATGTATGTATGTATGTATGTATGTATGTATGTATGTATGTATGTATGTATGTATGTCACTGTAGGAGAAGATAAAACACAGAAAGAGGACAGTAGAGGGAAGGGGGGAAACTCGGGTTGGTATAATATCAAGTTGCTTTCTGCACCCCCACTCACGTTCTGTGGTAGGGCGTCTGTCCGTCTGTCTGTCTGTCTCTTGTTTTTTTTTTATATAGCCTGTCTCTGTTGTACCACGAGACGGGACATACTTTTAGAGCTTCATATTTGATTTGATTTTTATCGTATTGGGATTTCATTGAGGCCAGGTGAAGTACAAGGTGTAACGTCATGCTATTGGGTAACACTCGAGTGGTGGTGACATACATACATACATACATACATACATACATACATACATATGCACTGCGTATCACCAGCACTTCCGTTAAGTGGTTCAGACATTGTTACTGCGACTCTGAACTTTACTTATATTCATTCCTGGGACTGTGTGTGGGGGGAGGGAGAGGAGGGAAGGGAGGGGAAGAGGAAGAGGGAGAGAAGAGGAGGAGGGAGGGA